CCTTATATAATTAGATATCTACTAGTGACTGATTAAAAATAAATGAACGATGATGTAACTTTAAATTACAAAATATGACATAATATTTACAAAATGCAGCATAATCAGATGAATAGATTCTTAACTTTACCACACAATGAAAACAGCCATTTTTAACAAAATGCTCATGAAGTAATGGGTTAATAAGTTCTTTGAAATAAAGGATTTATATAACATTTACCATTTTTAAAGTAAAATATATATGATATGTGCAAAGTGTTAGTCACTGTTATTATGTATTGTTGGTCCAGATCAGGGAATTATATAGATGTATTAAAATATATGTTTCAGCGACCACACAAGGCCACCCAGGAGGAAATGACCAAGTTCCATAGCGATGATTATATCAAGTTTTTACGAAGTATACGACCAGATAATATGTCCGAATATAATAAACAGATGCAGAGATGTAAGGATGATACTTCACTGAGAATATTGTTTTCTTTTCATTCTTATTTCAATTTGATATAGTAATTGTTCAGTTTATTTATGTAACAAAACTAGACACATCTTTTTAATCTAACATGAATTACTGGGGCGATTAAAAACCTTTTTTTGCAACGCAAAGTGTATATTTGAATTTTTGTCTGCTGTCACATTTGCTGGAGAAAAAAATATAGCAGATTCTGTAAGACTTTGGATTGATTTTCATTGATAGAGTAATATAAGCAACCAATGCTGCACTGTACATTTTGCCTTGTACAGGCCATGGGTATGATTTGGTATATAAACTAGTAGTCTATATATATTACAGTCAATGTCGGTGAAGATTGCCCAGTATTTGATGGCATGTATGAATTCTGTCAGCTGTCAACAGGAGGATCTGTTGGTAAGAAGTGAAATTTGTAAAGTTTGTTAACAGTTATTGATGTATGAATACTTTGAAACAAATCTTTGGAACTAATTTTTGTTATCTAGTGTTCCAAGTGAGAAATAAGATCAGCAGTTTTCAAGGTTCAGTCTGAATCAGCAAAAGAGTTAAACATTGATTTATAGCAAATTAAGATAATATAAAACTGTAAGTTATGTAGATAAATTTATTGTATACCCCATTGTATATAATTATACTGTATACCTGTACCATACTTTATTGTCATCATGTTTCAATTTTTTCCGCCAAGGATATAGATTTTTGTTACTTTGAATTACTTTAAAAAGTAATATTTCATTAGCAAACATTTATAGTCAGTTATATTAAACTGTTACTAGTATACTTAAAGTAATCAGTTATATACTGAATATACTGAAATACTCAGTAATTATTATTGTGTTTTATTTAAAGCTGGGGCAGTAAAGTTGAACAAACAGGCAGCAGATATTGCTATAAACTGGGCCGGTGGTCTACATCATGCTAAGAAATCAGAGGCATCAGGATTCTGTTATGTTAATGATATTGTACTTGCCATTCTGGAATTACTCAAGTAAGGAGTTTATGCAGTTATTCTTCACTGTTAAAGGGACTCCACTGAGGTTTGTTGACATGACGGGACTGAAAATTGTTTTTCAAGATTAATGTACCATTTGATGTAGGTCTAGACCAATAACTTGTTTGCAAAATTTCAGATCCTTCGCTAACTCATTTTCCCAAAATAAATATTCAATTGTGAAATTCAAAAATATCCCAAAGTTGTAAAGCGTTGTAATGCGTTCACTCATATCTGTCTTAGAAAAGCACAATGAATCCAAAAAGAACAACCACACGCGTGTAGTAGTTTGTTTTTTGTTTTTTTTTTTTTTAGAAAAGCACTGAAATACGACTTTTGCATGATTTTTAGCTCGACTATTCGATAAGAATAAGTAGAGCTATTGCAGTCACCCGAGCGTCGGCGTCGGCGTCGGCGTAACCACTTATGTTAAAGTTTTTGCAACACCTCAAATATTTTCAAGGTCCGTATACATATGGCTTTGAAACTTTGCACACTTGTTTATCATCATGACCCAATCTGTAAATAAAGAGGGAACTCTAGCTAGTATTTTGACATAATTATGCCCCTTTTTCGACTTAGAATTTACATTAAAGTCTTTGTAATAGTTCAAATATTTTCAAAGTCCATTGACATATGGCTTTGAAACTTTGCACACTTGTTCAACATCATGACCCCAACCTGTAAACAGGGGGAGGTAACTCTATCAAGCATTTTGACAGAATTATGCCCCTTTTTCGACTTAGAATTTACGTTAAAGTTTTTGTAATAGTTCAAATATTTTCAAAGTCCATTGACATATGGCTTTGAAACTTTGCACACTTGTTCACCATCATGACCCCAACCTGTAAACAGGAGGAGGTAACTGTATCAGGCATTTTTTTTACTATCAAGCACTAAGAATAGTCGAGCATGCTGTCCTACCGACAGCTCTTGTTGAGTATATTAAATTATTTGATTATCTTTTGCGAATCTTTCTGTTTTATGTTCCCCAGTTGATTTATGTAAGAAATTCAAATTTCATGTTTATAGGCTATTGGACCTCAGTTGAGTTCCTTTAATTGCAAAATCTATCTGAAAGTTCAATTGAATAAGATTTTGTGTTGGAAGTTGCATATTACTTTACTTTTTTTCTAGTGATAATACTAGTATCTATATCTGATAATGGCTGTTAGTCATGTAAGTTAGATAAATAATGGCAGTATCTTTTGTCATACATAAAAATACAAGAAATGAAAGTTTGATGTATGTATTAGTGTGATATGGAAGCATATTATATAAAGATGATTGTTATTATAGATACCATCAGAGAGTGTTATATATAGATATTGACATTCACCATGGAGACGGTGTAGAAGAAGCATTTTATACAACAGATCGTGTGATGACTGTCTCATTCCATAAATATGGATAATATTTCCCTGGTACAGGAGATCTTAGGGTAAGATTGACCTTCATTATGATTGTAGATTCAATAGACATTGTTAGTAATACCTTTGCATTACATGTTCAAGTTGATGTCTGCTTTTACTATGTAAAGATCATTCCTTTTTATCTTTGAAAGGTGTTAATTTGAGACAAACATGCACCTTTGTGGTCAAAATTATATGTTACTGTCTTGAACTTGTAACACTGAAATGATTTTTTACTGAATTATACCCCTTAACTTAGGTTTTGTGGCAAATTATCTCTCCAGTCACTTTAAAGACATTAATTTGAAACTTCCCATGTGTGCACCAAGCATCATTAACACTAGTTTGGGTTTTACAGAGTTATTCCCCTTTGTGCACATTAAACATATCTTGTTTTATTATCAAACTCTGAGAATTGTTAATAAGTTAATGTTATATGACAGCTTTTGCTGGGTAGTATCTAAGTGTTTATTACTGATGTTTAAATGATAACACCTAAATTGTTAGTTTGAGTTTTGTATTTAAAATTGATAACTTTTATAAATTATAACTATTACATATATATCTGATTAAACTACAGATTATGTATGTTATATGTAAATATTGTAATGATTGACGACATGTATAAGTGATGATGTATATTTTTTAGCTCGACGATTCGATAAGAATAAGTAGAGCTATTGTAGTCACCCGAGCGTCGGTGTCGGCGTAACCATTATGTTAAAGTTTTTATAATACCTTGTGATGTATATTGAGATAGAGTTTGTTTGTGTACAGGATATAGGTGCAGGAAAAGGGAAATATTATGCTGTCAACTTTCCTCTAAGAGATGGTATTGATGATGAAGCATATGAAACTATCTTCAAACCAGTGAGTTGTAAAATTTAATCTAGATTCCCTAAAATTTAGTTAGTTTTGAAATTTATTTATTTGCTTTATGCCACTTTCACAATTTAAATTGATTTTTAGGTATATTAACATTGAGTTGTGTTGTTATGTTTGTACATATATACCATTTTTACACATTATATGATTCCTGAAATTTGTCTTGTTGGAGTGGTAAAGTTAAGTGCATAAAGAGTAATGTTCAAATCCTACTGGTAATGTACATTAGACTTCAACAATTCCTACATTATACCCTTTTATGAAGGCTAAGGAGATTGGTTAAACAGGGCTCTATAAGAACTGTAATGGTCAGTTAGATAATGTTGTTGTTGTTGTTATTAGGTGATGACCAAGGTTATGGAGATGTACCAGCCTAGTGTTATAGTGCTACAATGTGGGGCTGACTCACTATCAGGGGACAGACTGGGTTGTTTTAATCTTACTCTCAAAGGTCAGTTCTAATTACCTGTAACATTACTACTATCATAATGTTAGCATTCTATGTATTCTTTTCTTTTTATATAATAAGTAATGGCTAAGTGTGTGTGTTTTTTTTTTTAAGTTTGATAATGATTTTCATAGCATTTTAATTAAATTAAGTTGTTGTGCTTTCTCACAAGAACTAGTTAGGGAAGTCTGTTTTCAGTTAAGACCCAAACAGAGTCTTGTCATGATTCATTTTCACAGAAAAGCTTAAGGGTGTTTCCGAGAGTTTTCATATATACATAGGCAAAATTATAACTGTTCAATAGAATTTCTTTAAACTTGGCATGTTGTTAGAATATTATTAATGGAAACATTTAAGTGGAAAAAATTTGGGTTAATGTTCTCAGTTTAAATTTTGCCTATATGTCTGTATGAAAACTGTTTAAAAAGTCCTGAATTTGGCTTTTATTTAACCCTTAACGTGCTGAATTTGTGTTATGGATTTTCCCCACTTTGAATTTGGAACAGTTTATCTAAAATCTGAAAGTAATTTAGTATAAATAAACAAACAGCCACCAGCAGTATAGAGCATGGTCACACTTCACAGTTGGCTCTATGCTTGTGGTAACAGCTAATCTTTTAAAGTTTCAGAAGGGAAGAGGGTAATTTATCAATTAATGATGACAATATTACTACATAATTGTAAATAAGTTTCTAATGTTAAACACTTATTTCATGGTAAACCAGTGTTATTATTTTGTTCATTATGTATAAGACTTGTTGATGTATATTTACAGGTCATGGTAAAGCTGTAGAGTTCATGAAGAAATGGAATCTTCCATTGATGTTACTGGGTGGAGGAGGTTATACCATTAGAAATGTAGCTAGATGCTGGACACATGAAACATCTATAGCTCTCAATGTAGAAGTTGCCAATGGTAATTATACTGTACATCAGTACATCTTTTATGAAGGAAGATCTCAGAATTTTGTTTAATTAATTGGGATTTTATATATTTTAGTCAAAGGGAATTTTTGTATTTAATATTGGTAAGGATGTCATGTTTTTATATAATTTACAGAACAGAACATTATTTTATTTCGACTTGTACATAGTACATAATCTTAATCATACATAGTGTGATAATACATTGCAATACATTACAATATATTTTCAATACTAATTTCCAATGCATTAAAACAAACTTTATATACAATGTCATGTTACTTTAGTTATTATTCATTAATTATGTATATTATTAATGTTATGGTTAATTTTGCCGCCATATGGTATAACGCTGTTTATTAGATCTTATGTCTTGTATTCTGATGAAGCTTCTGTATTAAGGCGAAATGTCAGACATAAAATATGTGTTATTGTTGGATGTTTTATGTTTAGTATAGAAATACTAACAAATTTCTTAAGTTTGAAAAAAAAATTAAATATTATGTAGATAAGATAATAATGGAAAATTAATATGGGAAATTTTTACAGTTTCTGTTATTCCTATGTTTACATGGCAGTAAGTTGATGTAGTTGCAGCTTGTTTGAGGTTTAATATTAAGAAATGAAATTATATATATACTGTGCTCCTCTTAGTTCACAGTACTTAACACTTTGAAGCAGGAAAGAAAAAAACAAATGAAACTTATGGTACAAAAGTTGTCATAAGCTTTTACATATAGGTATTTTCTGCTGTATGACACAAGCAAACAACAATATGTTTAGTCAAAATCAGTTTAAATGAGCAAGACGTAGACCATATGTCGGCCATTTTGAAAACAGTATGTCATCATTTAATTCGCAGTAATGATGTTTTATTTCAGTTTTTTCATGTTTCAGTTAAAATTTCTACATGTTATTTGGCATAATTTTAAATGTTAAAAGTATGTTTACATTGTGACTCAAAATTTATTTTTTCAACAAACAAGAACATTAAGAAAATGATAATTGTTTCAGACCTATGCAAAAATTTAACGGACTATTGTTGCTTTTTGCAGAAGTTTGTAAAATGTTGTTCTATTTTACGTAAAAATCTAGAGAAATTCAGTATTAAACTTACACTCATTCAATATTCTATTTATCACATACCAAAAAATAAAGACCATTTGAAGTGAAAAGAACCATTTTTCATTGACGCGCCTATAGTATAACGCTAATATTTAACGCATTCTAACATAATTTTAAATGTTAAAAGTATGTTTACATTGTGACTCAAAATTTATTTTTTCAACAAACAAGAACATTAAGAAAATGATAATTGTTTCAGACCTATGCAAAAATTTAACGGACTATTGTTGCTTTTTGCAGAAGTTTGTAAAATGTTGTTCTATTTTACGTAAAAATCTAGAGATTTTAAATATTTTGCACAAAAACTTTGTTGTATAGGTTGTATGAATAAAATATGTCAATTCTGACCAATTTATGAGTGGTCACAAGAAAATATGCCTTTACCGTGAAATAAGTGATGACGCGGAATTAGTGATGTTGAGTATATGTGTGTGATTAAATGTTTCTTTTTATCTGTCCTTACAGAATTACCATACAATGATTACTTTGAGTATTATGGACCAGACTTCAAGTTGAACATTAGTCCCTCAAATATGGCCAACCAGAACACAGGAGAATATCTGGAAAAAATCAAGTAAGTATTTACATATCAGATACATGAAATACATGTGTACATGTAATTATCTACATGAACCTTTATTCTCCTAAATTACTTAAATGGAATTGACTAGCTTCTATGTTTCTATGTTTGGAACTGACAGTTATCAACTTTGTGTTTATCAAGATGAAAATTTTTAGTAAGCTGGCAGCTTTGAGCCTGGTCAGACTGTATTGATGTGCAGGCTTATGCCCAGATGCTCAAGCATACATTTTCTTCAAATGGCTTTTAATAAAAGAATCCAGTGCTGTTATATTTTGTCAGTTTGAGTATTTTTCTTTTATCTTGTGTTTTATCTCATTGTCAACTAAAACTCACTATTTTACTGATACAGTATTAATTGTATTATAGGACAAGGTTGTTTGAGAATTTGAGAATGTTGCCTCATGCACCAGGTGTTCAAATGCAAGGTATTACTATACTTCTTAACTTCTTATCCTAGATGTATAGAATTATTAATATTGTAGTTAAAACTAACCACTAAACAGTTACATGTACTGGACATTTTTGATGAAATATTTAAGGCCTATAGTGCAAAATCTGGAAATTTCAGAAAATATATTTACAATTAAAAGTTAAACCAAATATTACTGAACTTATAATTTTATCATATTTGAAGTTTAAAAAATAGAGTTAAATGTTCACTGTTTAGGTATATTTCATATTCAATTGTCTGAAAGATTTCGTGTATCTTGACTGGTTTTGTCATATGCTGTCTTTTACATCGCAATGTTTATACCAATTTATTGAATTATCCATACAAATGTAGATATTTGCTATGTTTTAGCGAGTTGTATGCCAATGTGTATACTGAAAGATTTTATTGTTCAACCTTGCCTTCTCATGTCATACCTACATGTTATTGTAACTATGTCTATGGGTTGAAGACAAGATTTTGCAATAAAGTTGAATTTGTTATAGACAGGTATCCTGTAGCCATGTATGGTAAATAACTGTGCTATTGTATAACTATTTCAGCTATACCAGAAGATGCCCTCAATGATGAGAGTGATAATGAAGATAAAGAAAACCCAGACAGCAGAATCTCTAGTATGTCCCTTTAACATTACGATAGTGATACTGTCTTGAATTCTCTTATTTTAAGCCTGTCATTTTCCTAGTTTTGTACTTTTCAGTTTCGGCTTCTTAATAGGATTTCTTTTAAATTGTTTAAATTTATAACATCTTCAATGCATTCTTAATTTTGGCTGTATTTAAATTATTCTTAGAACTTTTAGTTTTAGAAGTGAAATGTTACCAAAACTGGTAAAATTGGCATTGCACATTCACAAATACCATTCTGATATAGACTTTTACAGAACATTCAAGTTTTGTTTTATCATAAATATCTAAGATAAGAAACATTCAACTCATGAATATAATCATGATGTTATGATTTGAAAGAGATTGTTCATCATTCAATTGTTCATCTATTTATGTTGAATTTACTAGAAAGAGTTCCATTGTTTATGTTATATTTATAAGATTACAGTATTTCTGACAAATAAAATGATATTTTCAGTACGTGCCAGTGATAAACGTATCCACTGTGATGAAGAGTTTTCAGACTCGGAAGACGAGATGTCAGGACCAAACGAGGCCGGAGGTAGACGAGACAGAACGTCACACAAACCAAAACATAAACGACCTAAAACAGACGATGAGAAAAAAGCTGAGGGTGCTAAATGTAAATTATCCTCATTTTATCATTTAGAAAATAATAATAAAAAAACAATCACAATAGATACATTGTATTCAATAATTTCAATTAAAAAGTATGTAAGGCAGTTATCATGTTATCAATTGTGTTAATATTAATAGAAATTTATAGTTTATGTTACAAAACTTATCTTACTTTACATATTCTTCTAGTAATCACTGATCAATGATACCAAAAAATACAGCAACTGGAATATATATAACAAATGTACCTGGCTACTATACATTGTTTGAGACATGTGAATTATATTTTATTTACAGCAGACAACAAGGACGGTGAGAAAAAGGAAGTGAAGAAAGAATCTGACACCAATGAAAATGCTAAAGATAAAGATCAAAATATGTAAGAATGTGATTATAGTTTACATGCTTTGTTAAATACATGTACATAGATTAGTTTGTTCTTAAGGTTGGTTTTACTGTGAACTAAAGGTAGAAAGTTTTGAAAGAAAAAACATCACATTATGCTTTAACATGTCATATAATTGCCGATATATCAAACATTATATTTTACTAATGATTCTGATTGATTATCAAGTTACTGTATGTTTACCATGCATTCAAATGTTGTTGTCAACTTATAACAGTCTATCTGCCATGACACACTGATTAATGTTTTAGAATCATCTGATCCTTAATGCTGTGTGATTTAGTCTCCCTACGGAACTCTGTATCCTTCTTTATAATACTGCACGTTTTTAACGTCAGCTTTTCATTGGATAATCATGACATTTATATAGTTTTATATACACGGCTGCTGTCGATTCATGAAGAAATCTTACATTTTTCTCTAAAAAATGATGCTTGCTCTATTATAAATTCGTTATAAAGATTGTTGACAGGTTATATGGCTGTATATATACGGCTGTTTGCAATATAACCCTCGCCTAGCGGCTCTGGTTATATTTACAAATAGCCATTTATATAGGGCCATATAACCTGTCAACATTCTTAATAACTAATAATACATTTTGTATAAGGGAGCTGTCCAGCTATTTTATGCTTGTTGTACCAAGTGCATATTGAAACCCAATCTCAAAAAATAAAAGACTGAGCTTACATTTTTTGCAGGAAATATATATCACCATTAAATGCTCCTGCTTTTACTCATGTTTGATAGTTGATCTATTTTCTTAATAATTATGCTTTAATAATGCAAATGAATATCTTATTTTTAACTCACTGTAGCATGTAAATTAGACTTGTATCTTATATATGTTTTATACATATATCTCTTTATGTTTTTTCCAGGGAAGAGAAAGATAAACCAGCTGCCCCTGAACAACCTGAGAAGAAAGGTTAGTATATCAGAAATTATGTTCATGAAAACAATACGTTTCTGTAGCCAAGTGGTTAAGGTCTTTGACTTCTTCAAACACTTCCCCCTCACGGCTATGAGTTCACCCCAACAGGGACTTTGGATGCTTTCATGTGTGGAAACCATCCATCTAGCTTATGGAACATTGGTGGTTCTACTCAGGTGCCTGTTTGTGCCTGAAGTAATGCACGGAAAAGCACCTGAGGTCTTCCTCCACCAGTAAAGCTGGAAACTCGACATATGACATACACTTTTGGTGCAACAAACCCAACAAGAAAAAGAAAAAAATAACTAAAAACAAGTGTTGTTTATTATTTAGCACAATTATGTCTGCCAGGCATTCGCGGCATTTTGTTCTTGGACAAGAGGACACATAGTTTGATACCTGTTTTTGTGTATGTCATTCACTATATCTGTTTATTTAAAAAAACAAATGATATAACCATAATGTTACTTAAATAGCTTGTATCTTAGTTAAGGCAATTAAGAATAGACAAGATCTTCTCAAAATAAATGATTTAATGTGAAACAGTATTCTGACTAAATAGCAAGCAATTTAGAAATCTTGGAAGTTATTATTAAATATGAAAATGGAATAAATATCTTAATAATTCGGATCTGGTTGAAGTTATACTGATACCTCTTACTTAAATATGAAAATGGAATAGATATCTTAATAGTTTGGATGTAAATCAATGAGTTTGATAAAATATTTCACAAATATTCCTTTATGGTAATACAATATTTACAGTCATCATCTCCAAATAGAAAGGTAAATGTCTGGTGTGTACACATGCTTCATCATCATAATAATGCTGTAATCCAGAATGGAATCATTGTTGCTTAATCCCTTAACATGCTGTATTTTTATAACAGATTTGATTGGTACAATTCATTTAAATATTCAGGGATTTTTATATAGAGAAATAGAGCCACTAACAGTATAGAGTCTGACAAGACTTCACAGATGTGCAGGATGGCCTGGCTCTATACTGGTGGTGAAGGTTATTACTTTTCAGTTCCAGTAGGTTAAGTTGCTAATCAATTTTCATTGTAATAGTTGGTAATTTAGCTAACAATTTGAATTAATAACAGAAAATCTTGGACATATAACTGGACTTTATTGTTTTGTTTTGCTGGTTTAGCTGCTGTTTGATTGTTGTGGTATAAAATGAGCTGCGTCACGACAAAACCAACATAACGGGTTTGCGACCAGCATGGATCCAGACCAGCCTGCGCATCCGCGCAGTCTGATCAGGATCCATGCTGTTCGCTATCAGTTTCTCTACTTGTAAAAGAGTTGGTAAACGAACAGCATGGATTCTGATCAGACTGTGCGGAAGCGCAGGCTGGTCTGGATCCATGTTGGTCGCAAACGCATTACGTTGGTTTTGTTGTGACGCGGCTCAAATATTGTTATGACAAGTATGGTGACACTTCAGTTTCTGTGTAGACAGCAGCTTCGTTTGTTTTTACAACGTTTAGTGACTTTATATTACTTGTACTCAAGTTTGTACTAAAGTTTCACTGTGTTGAAATAAGATACTTGATTTCCTATTCAATTTCTACTATCTCTGTGACATGAATGTGTTACAGGGTAGAGAGTTACTAATGCTACTCATTGGACAGACATGTCTTTGTTATATCAAGGTAAAGAAAAAATGCTTGATATTTGCTGATGAGTTACATTTTACTAAAGGATGGTCAAGTATCTATATGTGAAGGTATTAATGTGTAGTTAACTTATAACTAGTAATGATGTAAATATATATAGAAGACTTAATCAATAAACTGGTGATGAAATGAGTGTTAAAGTTATATATTTTATACTTCCAGCAACTGACTCAACTAAACCTGATGCCCCAGCTGATGAAAATAAAGACACTGCAAAAACAGAAGAAAAACCAGCATCATAATCTATGTCAGTGTACACTCAAGTCGATAGACGGTTGTGTTCATTAAATACTACGACAAACAATAGAATTTTATGTTGTTAAGAGTATTGTACATCTAGCTGTAATATCATATAATAATGAAATCTACAATCAGTAGTTGAAATGTGGCCATTGCAATATAAAATATCTGCAAAAATTGTGTTTGACTGATATATGGATCAGCATAGCAATATATAATCGTGAACAAAAAGTGTATTATAAAACAGTATGATTTAAGATTCATTGTACAATTTTTTTACAATAGACAAGAGCTTTATCAATTTAAGAAGAAAGTCTTCGTTGATGAAACATCTAAATGCATTATATGTTGTGTAATTTGATGTTTGCTGCAAATAAATTAATCTAGATTTTAATGAAATAGAAAAGAATGTTCTACTTTGAAATTGGTGTATTTTCTCAACACATTTGTAATAAAGATAAAAATATTATATTAGGAAACATAAAGTAAATGTTTTTTAAACAATGTTAAAAGATGAAAAAGCAACGTTGTTTTATTTCTTAATGATTTGTTTCATTTATATACATGCATGACATACATTTTCATTGTCAGCCATCATTCCATTAAACTTGTTTACAGCAGTATCAAATAAAACAAAGTCCTGAGAAAAAAATAAAATTTTGTAGAAATATTGTGTTTGTACTTCTATATGTTAACCAGAGCACATCATTCACCACATGTCCATTTATCCATTATTTTATTTTTGCTATGTATCCTCATAAACCTCTTTGTCAATAAAACTTTAAATTGTTCAAGAAATTATATCAAAATGAAACATTCCTCTATTATTTGAAAAAGAGGTACACCATTTATAATACTCCCAGATAATGTTGCAATTTTAAAATAACTTGTGCTAATATTTAATTGTGGAATTCAGAATGTTGGAATGATGATAATTCTTGCACAAACAAAAAAACATCCATGGACCTGGCTTTTTTATTTCTGATATTTTTAATGGCCCAATAAGTTTTCAAAATTGGTTTCAAAAGCGTTTTCTTTATGATGTCCTGTTTCAGTTTACAACATGTTGCTTTTTGGTCATATAGACAATAAGTGCACTGATAGGGATTTAGTAATTTGTATGGAAGTCAAATAATTATATCTGAGGATTAATGTACCTTCCAAATCTTGTAGGATAATTTTACCAAACTTCACTAGAATGATCCTTGCATGTTTCTCCTTGTACCTGCACACTAACCAAATCTAACATTGACTGAGCCTTATTTCTAGTCTTACTGTCCCTGTTATTATTTTGGATTTTTCTTGTTACAATCTGGTGTAAAGCCTGGTCAATATCTTTGCGTCCTAAAAGGGAAAACAATCGCCAAAATGGTCAAAGAAACTCAGTTTAGCATCTTGTCATTAACAGTTGTTCCGGGCTGAACTACTACATGAACTATAATCTTAGAATTTGCCAGTACAGAGAGATAGATTGATGTTGTCTAGGAATTTTGTATAAGATCTATGATGTGCAAGAAGATCAACCTAGACTTTAAAACCAAAAAAAAAATTGCCTACCATTGGTCACATTTTTGTGCGCTAGATCTGCTGCAGTAAGTCTCCACCGAAGGTATTAATGTGTGGGTTCAAACCCTATCAGAGGCAAGACATTGGGTGTCCTTCAGCAAGAAAAGATCTGTATACATTTATTGCTAATCTTGTACTGGTTGGTTCTAGGAACTTATTCAAGAATTTATAATCAACTAAAATAAATTAGTAAACAATGATCACTATAAGTAGTTTTAAGTTTTCATTTAAAACAAAACACAATTGATAGAATATAATTAGGTTAACTCCGATCACATGTATCACATTCATATAAACGATTCTTTTATCAAATATAAATAAGACAATTTGTCTCATCAAAATATAAATCCGTGTTTAGGTGTATGAATAAAATGATGATGAATAAAGTGATGTTGAGTGTAGTACTTGACAACCTGAACTGAAGTTACTTAACATACCAACAGTTGAACTGATCCCTTATTAAAATGTTTTTCTTTTAAGAAAATAAAACATTAAATAATTGTCAAAAATCAAAATATGCTGCTCAAGCATGTACGCTTAAATTCTCTGAGTTCTACAATATATAAAATAATTAGAACAATAAGTAATTAATAACTGGTCCCTTTTCCCGCGAAACGCGAGTGGTCAACAAAACGGGGTTTCGATTAAGATTTCTGGTTTTACAGCAACCTTCTTTGACTTTCATCATGGTAAAAAGAAAATGTCAGTCTTCAACACTCAAAGGTATGATTTTCCTTGTCTAACAATTAAACACGTTTCAAATACTGTTACATTATGACAATTAATGACGTAGTAGTCGGATGGTTTTTATCCCAAATTTTATCTGTTTTATCACGGACTTTAAATTATGACATAAAAGTCCGTATGACAGACTATTATCCCCCTGACAAAAACAGTTGCCTATTTGAAATATGTTTTTCACCCCCCCCCCGAATTAATTATTTATTCATTTAATTGTGTAAGAAGATCTTATCATTGTAGATTTCTTAATGAAATGATGAATATTGATATTTCAATGAATTTTATTGATATTAAGCAGTTTACGACATTTCGTCGAAAGACATCTTGTCAAATACGACAGTTTGTCAAATATGACAATACACCGATAAACACTTTCCCCAACTAGCAGACAACATGCTATTCTTATCAGTAGGTTTTCGAGTAAAGATAACCGGTTGTGTATCTCACTGTATAAATCGTATGTAAAATGGGCTGACATATGCTAGGTTTAACATTTAATTTAAATACTTTGGTGTCAAAAGATATGTAATATTATATACTGTGACAAAGCTAAGATCCCAAGCTTTCCATTGATGTAATAATTTCTAAAATCGGACATTTAATCACAACAAACTATAGCGGTTTAAAAATGGCTTGATTTGTATTGTTTTAGCGTAAGAGATGCCAATTTTACTCGAAGATGAGGTAAACAACTCGTATTTTTTTCACTCGATATACCTCGGTTATTTACGTAGTTCATATGAAAAGTGTTTACGGGCGTATTGGTCGAATACGTCAGTTTGTACTGTTGTAGGCACTTAGACTGACAACTAATCGAAACTAATTTGTAACACTATGACAATTGATGTTAAATAAATTTTAATCCTACAACACTTGAAATCGCCCCCCACCATGTGTACAAATTCTGAGGCACGCTTGATGGTATGTACCGTGAGGGGTTTGACATTAAGTTAACGGAAGATAGAAGATAGACAATGATCAGCTTGGTCAAAACTACCATTAACTATAAAACAAATCAAATCAAAATTATTTATTGTCGGTATAACATATAAACATGGCACAAAAACATAAGCTATGTATAGCATTTGACCGACCATATATTGGAAAAAAATGAAATAGTTTGAACTGTTTCACAAAAAATCTTACTCCATAATTTATAAAACTATTTGGTCACATTTTAGTTTGAAGTTAGCTATACTCAGCAATGGACATTAAACCAGTTTTTTTTCTATAGTTCACATGGTGGTTGAAAATTAAGTTTTGAAGGTTATGCGTACGAAGACCAATGAGAAGATTATTAACTTCATATTGTAAGGGATTTTGATAACAGAGATTCCATGGATTTCCTTCAAACAATTGTGTAAATAAAGAATGACATATGTTTGACCTGTATTTTTTGTTTTTCTTTCTTTATTTTTCGACAAAAGTTATAAATTTTCGACAATTTTTCAATACTTTACTACTTAAATAAATTCGACCATTTGTCACAGACGACGAGATGTCTTTCAAGAAAATGTCATGTAAGCGATATTAAGCTAGAGGAGATAACTGTTAAAGATTAAACATTTCTTTACCTGGCTACATCTGACAGATTTAGTATATATCTCTTAAACAGTTATCCATGAAATTCTATAAATGACACAGTTAAATGTCATACAAATTTCTTTTAAACTTGTAAAATTTAATGTAAATTTATATCTGACTTATATATTATTTTATATATCTATTGTCTATGTAATCAAAGCACATCTTAACTATTGTATATTTGTAACTTATTGCATAAGTCACTATAATGAAATTATTTAATATTTACTTACTTTACTTAAGCCAACAAAAATATTCCTGGGTATCCTACTTAAAATGTTTTAAATTGAATGATATGTTTATTTGTCATGAAAAGTTGCTGTACATTTTAACACCCTTTTCAGGTATTTTAATCCAATCAACAACTTCTTTGTCAGAGATTAAGGTTGTAAGGTGGTGATAAGTTTATAAACACTTGCAATTGTCATAATGGTCTAGTGATAATCATTCAACTTAATTCATTTGTTAAAATAGCTAGTATAAAACTAAAGTGGTTAAAGATATGTTCTGATATGTCACAAAATATTAACTCTTTTGGTACACTTATATCAAGATATACAATAAATTATATAATACAGTTTATGTAAAATAGCATTAAAACAAAATCTGAATAAAATGAAATGTCCAGAATGATGAACTCAAAATATATAATAATCTGCTTAAAGATTCTTTTTTCCCATTAACATAACCATCTTTTAAATATCAAGAATTATCAATATTGATCTAACAATAAGAATAAAATTGGGGTGGAACAGTCTCTCTCCCCCCCCCCCCCCCCCAAAAAAAAAATAAAATAAAATTGACCAGTGCACTTGCTTTCGTCTCCATAAAATATTGGCCTAGTTAAAACGAAAATTTACTATTTTGGATATATATATTCAACATTCTAATTTTGCATCATCATTTATTTCGGGGATAATGGCATACGTCTAAGTCATTGTTTTTTTTTTGTGATAACTGAAGTAATTTTATTATGCAAATTCATGAATATAATTCAGAAAATTAGAAATTAAAACAACAAGTTGTCTGAAATATATATTAATATCTTTCTTCTGGCTTTTGAAATATGTAATTAATTGAAATTTAGTATTACTATTTTTGCATAAAATTAATGTCCAAACAATCTTAGATAACTTCAAGATCAAAGTTTTAAGCAAAACAGGAATCATTTAACAAAAGTTTTCCAATTCTTTTCTACATTTTATATTTAAAAAAAAATCAACAAATTAAAAACATTTTGAAAAATCATTCAGGGAAAGACACAATTATGATGAAAAAGCTATAATTTAATTGCCAGTAAGAAATAAACACTCACTGACAAGTGTTTTCACACCTACAATGATAAAAAGGAGGTGACCATTAACTGGTAATTTAACATATAATGTTTCAATCTACATTAAAATACAAAGAAAGTTGACACTTGAAATTGCTGTCCGGTTTTCAGAGGATTTTTTATGCATGTTGAGCATTAGTAGCCATAGAAGATTACAAGGTTTTCGGAATTCAGAAGGTCTGTTTTCAGAGTTTTTAATGTAAATACGTCCAGTTAAGAATATAATCCAAATACTTACTCATGAAGCTTTCTTTGAAATTAAAAACAAATTACTTTATCTTTATATCTGTCCATTATTTTTGTTTTAATATAGAAAATAATGGCTGTACAGTACCAGTATTTCATAACTTCACAGACGAGGAAGTTAAAGATGTGCGGGCCAGTCTTGTGACATGGTATGAGAAGAACAAGAGGGATTTGCCATGGCGGAGAAATGCAACTAAATCAGATTTAAATGAACGAGCTTATGCTGGTAAAACATTTTTCTAGTACAAAAAAGGAAACCCTTCACTTTCCTTCTCACATTAGGATATAACTCATTATTTTATCAATATTTCAAATTAGAATTTAATTAATATCTATAGTGGTTTAACGTCCTAGCTTATGGATTATTACATAAACATGATACAATTTAAGCTTTCTTAAAAATTTTAATACATATATATGTTTGACATGCAACAGAATTGTAATTAACATGTGTTAGCCCACCAAAAGAAGCATGTCAGTAAATTTTAACTACCGGTAAATTAGAATTTAAAAAGACTGGTCACTCTACTGACACAGCGGATCACATCAGTGGTTAAGTTTAATTCACAATTTAAAGAAAACAAAATTTAATGGTGTTAGAAAGTGTAATTCAGCTAAGAAAATGTTAATGTAATCTATTTCTTTAGCTCTAAAACCCCCTAGGTAATGTATTGTTTCAGTATGGGTGTCAGAGATTATGTTACAGCAGACACAGGTTGCCACGGTGATTGATTACTATAATAAATGGATGAAGGTAAGGCACTTGACTATCTATTGCTTAAATTTTATATTCTACATAGACATCTGTATTTTTTGCTTTACAGTACAAATGTATACAAGAAAAGCATTGATGCAAAGCATCAAAGGGCGTCCAAGCAAGAAATGCAGCAAGTGAAGATGAACTAGTAGACATATGATGACAAGATATTCTTATAAACTACCAGAAATGTATATCACTTATGAATGAGCGGACGAAAGACATTGTTCATTGTGAAATTTGATTGGCATGCTAGAGATTAGAATATTACTTGTTATTTCTTTATGATTGTGGTTATTAATAGCAACGGATATACATGTATACAATCATTTATAATCCATATGTGTAACGCATGATCAACACGTACCACACCTTTGTAATTGTCCCTTACTATGTTATCGCTATTAGCGAAGACCCCCTCTTAAGGTATCTGTTCACACTTAGTAAAAATATGACACTGGTTATATTACCATGTTGATCATGTTGAGCATAATTGTTTATTATACAATAATTGTAATATCAATTAATTTTAATAAAAAAAATACAAATTTTATGAATATTGTTTTCTTTTCTTTTTTGTGTTTTATGTGCTATTTTAATACTGAGTTTTTACTACTCTTTTTTATTTAAATTGTAAAATAAATTTTAAGAATTCAATTGTCATATTGATCGACGATTATAACTCAAAACTTAACTGGAAAAAGTCAGTAAATTATGGTTTATCTTTCAATATATAATTATTGTTTATTCTTAAACCATGTACATGTACATTTGTATTTTTCTTTATCATTTTTTAAATTATCAATCAATTGAATAATTCATAAAATCTAATTTGTAACTTTGAATAATTCCTCGGCATCTTTACTAAACACGGATAACAAATTAAATAAAATGTTTCAAAGTTTGATAATGTCATATTAATACCATAAAAATGTACCTTTTTCTCAATTATTGTACATATTTATTGTTTTTATCTCATATAGATAAAAAGAAACATGCTATTGTTGTTGTTGTTGTTTTTAATTGTAATGATATCAACCATCTACTCCAAAACCAGGAGAGACCGGACAATAAACGTGTGTACTATTAGCCGGTCACTAGTAAATCCCGGTCAAATAGACCGAAAATTACCGATAGGAGTGATAAATAGATATATCTATAAATAAATTTTCGGAATATTTAGGTCATCAACTGATCATTCTAGGATACATGTACAGCAATAACATACCATGATAACCCACTATGTACTACAAAATGATAAATAAAAAAACCCGAAGAGCGCGATTTATTGACGGGAAAGGTTATTTCATTTGAAAATGTTTGCATTGCGAAATTCTCCAGTTCGCTATTCATTGTAATTCATTTTTAATTAATAATCAAGCACCCTCATACCGATCGGAATGATCGGCTTTTATTATGACCGACTAAAAGGCTCGAGAAGTTGCTGTCACCCTTTCACAAAATCTGATTTCATTCCATAAGGGCGCCGCGCTTCGGCGCGGACGCCAATTATTATAATATAAAATATGTTTTGAAAGTTGAAATTAAAGATCTTTTATTATAATAAAACTCAAGGTTATTAGTTCTTTTATTTTCAGTCATAAGTTAAATTGCCATTTATATCAGTATTAAAAGAATAATAAAATAGTTGTAAATATTTCAGAAATGGCCTACACTGCAACATCTAGCTGGTGCAACACTTGAGGTGAGATTTTATTTTAATTATGTTATAAAACTTTTAAAGTGATATCACCGACATTTGTATGGAAATAAAAATGATCTCATTGGAAGGGAAATAAAAGTGATAACATAGATTATGACTGACTGATGTGATCCAATGTGAGAGTTGAATTTTCTGAGACAGAAAAGTTACTAGGTGTTCATGTTGACAATAATCTTAAGTGGAAAACCCAAGTAGACAAGACATTAAAGAAATGCAATACACAGTTGTACCTTCTTCTCCGAGTTAAACAATACCTTGATATAAATGCAAGAAAATTGTTCTTTAATGCTTATATCTTACCACATTTAGATTATTGTTGTACAGTCTGGGGGAATTGTCTCAACTCAACTCAATTTTATTTAAGTAAATAAAGGCCTCCGGCCCAAAATACACAACAGTATAAATATTATAGTGTATACATGTATTGAATGTAGTTGCATAACATATAAAATTAGAATAAAATAAGTCAAGAGCTGGTACTTTTCAACAAGTGATATACAAACAGAGATAGTTTATAAATATTTTCTTCATTTTGTGTACTCATCAGCGAATAAAAATCGTTAATTGTAGTACCATTTGAATACCAATTATAGAGATAATTATTTCGGACGTCATTATACTTAGAACATTGAAAAAAGGCATGAAATTCACAATCAATAGCAGTTACATTATTTTGGTTAAAACAAAATAAACATATTCTTTCATGAAGTGGTATATTATTTTGTCTTCCCATTTCAATCGTTAATTTGTGACAGGAACATCGAAACCTTGCAAGAGCAACCATATATTTTCTTGGAATATCACAGTAAAGATAACGTTCAGGATTTAATTGACTCTTAAAAAATTTATAATGGTAACAACGGGACGCAACATTTATATCATTATGCCATTTTTGTTCAAAACAATCTTTCAGCCGTTGACGAAAAGTTAAAATAAATATGTCTATATTTCCAATATCTTGTGCAAGCCATACATATCCAAAACCATAAGTATAAAGTAGTGATTTTACTTTTGATGCCCAACAATTTCGACCGCTCTCATCTAGGGACTTCAACATTTTTATAACATTGTCTGGGATATCTATGATCTGGCATAGTCAACAATTTACACCAGTATTTTATACAATTAACAAAATAAGTTATACACAATGGCAAACGTCCACATTCTCCTAAAACTATACATGTATTTGTTGTCCTTTTTACACTTAAATGCTTTTTACAAAATTTATTTTGAACTGCCTCGATAGAATCAACAAGTTCGTATCCCCATATCTGTGACCCATAGCATAAAATAGGTTTAACCATACTATCAAACAGAATGAAAAGTTCGTTTGTTGGAAAATAACCATATGGTTTTTTATAACTATAAATAGAAAGTATTGCACGTTGTGCTTGTGCACATAATTTATCTTGTGCTGCACTCCATGATAAACCTGGTGTAAATAAAAGTCCCATATATTTGTAAACGGAAGTAACTTTAAGAGTACTACCCCGAAAATGCCAATTTTCATATTGTCTGAGCGGTCCCCCATTTCTAAATACCATAATTTCAGTTTTATTTAAATTTACTTCCATCCCAGTATTTTTACAAAATTCATCGACAACATTTAATTGTTGTTGTAATCTAACTGCCGTTTCAGCACAACTTGCAACATCATCAGCAAACATGAGGCAAATAATATCGTGAATTTCTTGTGTAATAAAAATCCCAGAGTTACATTTATCACGAAGCATATGTGCTAATTCATCAATAAAGAGAGCAAAAATTGTGGAACTGGATTTGTCCCCCTGTCGGGTTCCTATGTTACATTTGAAAAATTCAGTTATCATAGGCCTATTTCTGGAACTATTTTGTGTATCTAAATCACAACAGAAAGTATTTCGAACCTTTACACATGAATAGAGCGAATTATACATTTTCTTTAATAAAAACAAAAATCTTCCGTTTATTCCTTTTCTTTGTAAAGCTTGAAAAAGTATCTTATGGTTAATCTTATCAAAGGCCTTACGGAAATCAATGTACAAGCAATAAAATCTACCCCCTTTTTTGGAAAGATATTTTTGCACCATAGCTTGAAGACAGAAAACATTATCAATTGCCGAATACCCAGCTCGAAAACCTGCCTGAGATTCGTCAAACTTATTGTTATTTTCAGCAAATTCATACAAACGCTTATTAACGATGCTTGAAAATATTTTATATAGTGTATTAATAAGAGAAATTCCTCGATAATTACTCGGGTCACAGGTTGATCCAGCCTTATGTATAGGACATATTATGCTAAGACCCCAAGATTGAGGGAATTCACCTGTTTCAAATATTCGATTAAAAATTAATACTAAATAAGGTGCAATACTGTTTAAACTATTCTTATAAAATTCAGATGGTATTCCATCCAAGCCGCAGCTTTTTCCGTTTGCTAACTTCCGAATAGCTAACTCGACCTCCGTTAATATAAATGGTTCGTTTAAGTTTGATATATCATGTATATTATCAACGATGACGTCATCATTATCATTATTATATTCTAAAGGTGATATATCATTATCAAACAATAAACCACGAAAATATGTATACCAATCATCGGCTCCGATACTTGAATCTATAAATTGTTTTTGTTTTGCTTGTTTAAGTTGTTTCCACATAAAACATGGATCGTTTCTATTATTAATGAGCTTTTGTCGATTTTGAGACTGGTACTGATAAAATTTATTCTTACAATAATTTTTAAATTCATTCCTTTTATCTTTATAAATTCTTAAATCAGATGCAAGGTTTGATGTTCGAAACCGTCTTAAGAATGAGTATTTCTGTCTTTTAAGTATTTCACAACGTTCATCCCACCAAGGCGGTTGCAACGTGTTTGATGAATTAGAAGCTAACATATAACGTCCAGCATTATAATATAAAGACTGAATAGTTTCAATAGCTCGGTCAATATCAACATTTACAAGACTTGTAATTAGTTGGTCATTCTCTGAAAGTAGAGCATTTATTTGCTCACGAAAATGGTCACCATGATGATCCCGCCATTTGTACATTTTAAGTTCCGATAATGTATTATTTACAACATTTGTATTACGATTTCTATCATTTAAATTATAAAATTTTAAACAACAATGCAATGGAAAATGGTCCGATTCAGTTCGATCAAGTACACTAAAGTTACATATATTTTCAAACAACTCTGACGAGGCTATCATATAGTCGACAACGGACGCTCCGTTGTTAGAAACGCACGTAAAATTTCCCTCTAAATCCCCATTAATTCTTCCATTTAAGAAATGTACATCTAAAACACAGCACAACTGTACTAGTGATTTCCCAAAATTATTTCCCCGTAGAACATCTTTACTATTTCGAAGCAGTTCAAAATAACTACCTTCATACTCAACTTCCCCAAAAACAAAATCTAAGTTATCATGTGGAATAAAGTCTAAATAATCTTTCGTTCTAGAATTTAGATCCCCTGCAAGAAATATTAAATCATTAGGAAATTCTAAAGATATTTCTTCTAAATTTGATTGTAAATAAAAAATGCCATTTCTTTCCTCCCTGGAATCGTAAATAGACGACCCTTCAGGTGATACATAAACAAAGTACATAATAACATTTTTACACTTGAAAACTTTCGAAAAATTACAATATAATACAACACAATCCTCAAAAGTGTTCTTTATACGTGTAATAATATTCAGTTTATATAAACTGCTTTTTATAAAAACGGCAATACCACCGTTATTACGTATGCTATTAGAACGTTGTGCTCTAACATGTTCATAACAGATATAAGATTCTAAAAAGGAGCTAAATTCACCAACACACTTTCCCCATGATTCACACAAATGAATAATATCAAAAGAAGAGAAAAAATGTTTAAGTTCAGCATTGTCAACATGTTTACAACGAACAGATTTTGGATATCATAAAATTTCAAAAAAGAGCTGCAAGAATCATTCTTGACAAAAGCTACGATGCTCCATCTGCTGAGTTATTTAATGAATTAAATTGGATAAAATTTGATGAAAGAATAAGATACAAAAAAGCTGTCATTATGTATAAATCTTTAAACAATGCCTCATTTCCACAGTACATGAAAAACAAATTTCAATTTATTTATCAAAGACATGAGCATAACCTTAGGTCAGCAAAAAATTTAGATTTATTTGTGCCACAACCTAAAAAAGAAATTTTTAGAAAATCTCTGACATATTCAGGCCCTAAACTATGGAATAATATCCCTCATTCTATACGTAAATCTGAAACTATTGGAAAATTTCAAGCTTCCTTTATCAGTTGGAATTTCACATAAGTACAATGTACCTTAATCTTGCTAAGTAATGTATGTATGTATTGAATATGTATTTTGTTTGAATGTACATTGTTTTCTGTTGTTGTTGTTTTCATGTATATATTATGCATTTTGTGTTTTCATGTATGTTATTTGTAAATTTCGCTGTATAACCATGATGTAAATTATGTATATTTTATGTATATTTATGTTTTGAGGCCCACATGGAAGATTGGGTAACCAAATGTGTAGCCTCAGTAAATAAAGACTTTACTTACTTACTTACTTACTTACTTATTTGTGAAAGTTTTTGCACGCAATATCTGTATAAACAGCCACTGACAGTATTCACTTCACTGACTTTAAAATTTATACAAGTTATTGAGATTATGTTAATAGTTCACTGACCTGGACAAATGGCTCTTGCATGGACTTTTGTGAATAATTTCCATTTGTGCATTATTCAGCATCTTGGTTTATTATCAGGCTTTCGGAATTGAGATTACAAAGTCAATAACTCTGCATAATGTATTTTAAGAATTATCCATCATTTCAAAGTAGAATTAAATTTGAAAATATGACTAACTTAAATATTTCTAATTTATATAATATATTTAACTTTGATATTTCTAGTTATATTTTATTTTATTAGCATGCAATACTTGGAAGAAACATTTCCTGAAATGAATGAAATGATATAATTATGTGTATATTAAATCTTAATGATGCAATGTCATTTTACATTATCAAAAATAAAAATTGTCAAGAGATTCAAATGATTTTCTGTCTTTAAATTTTCTTCTTGATATCCCTAGACTGACAATGAACAGTTTCAAGAATAGAAGCTGGACAAGTTCATTAAGTAATTTCAGGTTATGGATTGATATGTTACAGGAAGTGAATGAGATGTGGTCAGGACTAGGTTATTATTCTAGAGGTAGACGTTTACTTGAAGGAGCTAAAAAGGTGAGATTTGTTAGGGCGGTGGACTGGAAAACAAAACCTGTTTTTTTTTACATTTATGTATAAGTGTTATTGTTGCATATAATAGATCTATTGTAATATTTTGGCATTACTGTTTGAATGTGAAAATGTACTTACAAGTAGACTGAATAAAATTATCACATACTTAATTATGCTATGGGTCTCTTAAGTTATGTAGCATGATAGAATTCATCAGATTTATTGGTCAACATTAAAAATTCCATATCATGAAAAGGAGATAAGTGGTTAATTTTGGTACCTGCATATGCCTGAAGTTATAAGATGAGAGGTCACCAGCTGTAATTGTATGGAGTTCTCATTTGACAAAGTCAGCAAGTTAAAATTGTTTCTAAACAAAAAAAGACATCTTATTTTAGTAGGACATGTAAAATTCACTGTACTTAACACATATTTTTCTGAATTAAATTACAGTATTGTAGTTGCTTTTTATCTACCTACAACTATGTATGATTTTAATTATTCAGAAATTTGAAGTTTTTTTGTGTACATAATTAAAAATAAGTATTAAATGAAGAATGCAAGAAGTCGAGAAAACACCAGAAATGTCATTATGTGTGCTGAATTATTTTAAAATGTTTCAATAAGAATTTGATTTTTATTCTGTCAGTTTTTATTCACTTTCTCAAGACGATAACAGGTGCAATTGACTAGAAAACAGATGTTTTATATTAGATTACATTAATTTTTTATATCAATAACATCTGTGACATAAATAATAGATGATAAAGGGCGTCTGTTGCAAAGTGGTTATTTAAACCATGCAAGCGTTGTCAGATTCTACATGTGACAAAGCTATCCAGCTAGCTTACAGTATGTTTGGTTCTACTCAGATGCCCATTTGTGCCTGAAATAGTGTACAGAGGGCCAGTGGCACCTGAGGTCTTCCTCAACCAGTAACTCTTAACTCTAAAATCACCATATTGCCTATACTGTTTTGATGCAACGTATATTCAAAAAATATATATATATAAAAAAAAAATTTGTTTATGTTTAGGTTGTTGAAGAGTTTGATGGTGAAATGCCAAAAGATGCAGATGGTTTGTTGAAACATTTACCAGGTGTTGGTAGATATACAGCAGGAGCTATAGCTTCTATAGCTTACAATCAGGTATATGAAGCTACAATGTGGTATATGATCTTCAATTTGGTAAAATTAAATCTTGTAAAATTGGCTACAATTTAGTTAAATTAATTCTGAAACACAAAAGGCTACAATCTTGTAAATACAAAGCAACAGTCCAGTACAACTGAATCTGGTATACAAAATTCATAGTGAAAGACAATTATTCTTAAGTTTGGGGTAAAATTTTTAAAATTCCCTTATAACTATTTTATAAAGTTGATAAACAATATGCTCCAAAATGACACTGATAACAATTTATCCTATAATGGAAATAATTGTGTATATAACATTACTTTATATACACATTTCTCAACAATTATTTCAGGCAACAGGTCTGGTAGATGGTAATGTTATTCGTGTTTTATGTAGACTACGAATGATAGGTGCTGAAAGTAACAATCAAGTTGTCACGGATACGTTATGGTGAGACATGATATATTATTACAACTTGTACAAACATCTTACATTTACACTAAAATCTAAGGTATATTAGTAATGGTATTTTTGGACAGTGTTGAGGAGAAATGACTGAACATTGTTAATTTAGTTGATACAAATTTATTTTAGTTTAATTGTGTTGGAAGCTATAAGCTTATTGAAGCACTCTCGAATCCGTTCCTGGAATCAACCAGAGTACTAAGCAATTTGCCACCAAAGAGTGTAAAGTTTCTTGTTCAAGGAAACAACGATTGCCCCTGATAGGGTTTGAACCCAAACATTCAGTAATCCTTAGATTACTAGTCTGACGCGTTACTCACTCGGCCACACTGCCACTTGGTATTTTTCACTTATATATGCCAGATTATTATGATTTAATATAGTATATTTGGTATACTCTTGTACTGTAGTTTTATTATTTTCAATTAAATCATTTCTTAATTGGGTATCAATTATTTTTAGAAAGCTGTACTTTGCTGTGATTGATGATTTCAATTTCATATACTGCACATCATGGATAGAGTTAAAAAATTCCTAGTGTACATACAAATTGCTAAATTTGTTCTCTTGTAGAGAATTTTGATACATATAAAGATATTTCTAGAATAGGCTTTTAAAATTTGAAGATTTCTCTCAATGTTTCTCTAATCTCTATGACCCACTTTATTCATCATATTTTCTACATCAATTTTAGATTATTTCTGGAATGCTTTGATCTCAATTTTGCATAAGCAGATTGATATTTAATGAATGTATATATTGTATTTGTTACAATCCGATTAATTTGTGTACTTTGTTTAATTTTAGGTCATTGGTAAACAGTGTTGTTGATCCAGATAAACCAGGAGATTTTAATCAAGGTTTGATGGAGCTTGGAGCAACAGTATGCACACCAAAATCACCAGAATGCTCGGCCTGTCCACTGAAAAATAATTGCAGGGCATTTCAGCAGGTGAAGGCTATAATACTTGGTTGTGTTCTTTTATAAGTTTTATTCCTGTATTAGTTGTACATCTGTATTTTTGTTGTATTGCTGTACTTTCTTTTATTGCTGGTTGTATTCCTGTAATGCTGATTATATTCCTATATTAGTTGTTGTATTCCTGTATTAGTTGTATATTTCTTGTATGGGTTATATTCGTTAATTGCTGGTTGTATTCCTATATTGCTAATTGTATTCCCGTATTTCTGATTATACCCTGTATTTGTTGTTGTATTCCTGTATTTGTTGTATTCCTGTATGGGTTATATTCCTAGATTGCTGGTTATATTCCTACTGGTTGTAATCATGCATTGGTTGATTTGCAGGACCCATGCTGTGACTGTGCCGGCTCAAGGTCAAATGTCAGACAATTCTACGTCCACTGTATGAGTTTTATACTCCTCGAAACTTAGTCAGATACTCACCTTCAAAAATATAAATGAACCTACATTACAGCCTGTTTCATAAAGGTGGTGGGGATATTCGTCACTTCTGTGGCAACTCCAGTTTTCATGTTATTTCTTTCCAACAGAGTTAATGCCTTTAAGAAGATGCTGTAGTTGGCCATTAGCACCTAACCCCTATAGTCACATGGTTTGTTTATGACAATACTATGCAGAATCTCATAAATATCCTGTATATAGTTTTCTCGATACCTTGTGTAAAAGGGGTTTGTTTTTAAACTAGCTAATAACTGACAATGATATTTGTTTGGAATATTTAGGTTGAAAAAGATCAATTGGAAGCAGCAGACAAACTTGTTACAAGAAAAGTAGAAACAGAAATAGCTGACATAGAATGTTGTAAGTATGAGCTACTTAACAAATCTAAGGTTTGAGTGGCACCTAGCCCAGTGCTTAACAAGACAGAGCAGTTATTGAAGGATTGCCGGTCATTTCTGAGTACAGGTTGGACGAATTTGAGAGTGCTTCAATAAGCTAATAGTTTCTTACACAGTCAAACTAAAACAAATTTGTACAAATTAAACAAAAGTTTGTGTACAGTAAATCAGCAAAGTAAAAAACAATCATCATCAAAGTTAGATTCTCAAGCACATTCAACATACTGGCATATCTCATTTAACAAACCAACAGCAAATTCATTGCGTACTGGATGCAGGACGCAGAGGTAAAAAATGACTTATTAACATTAGCATAGATATTGCCGAGTGGCTTAGACTTTGTTAAAGCTCTTGTATTTTAGAATGGGCATCCCAACAGGGACTTTTGATTCTTTTATGTGAGAAAGCTATCCAACTAGCTTACGGAACATTGGTGGATCTACTCGGGTGCCAGCTCATGTCAGAAATATTGCACTGAAGGGCACCTGAGGTCTTCCTGCACAAGTCAGGCTGGAAAGTTGCCTATGACATATACTGTGTTGGAGCAAAGTAAAACCCAAACACAAAAAGTGAGAAAGAACGTAAAAGATGCATTGAACTTCCATTAATAAAGCCAAAGTTTAAATTTAGTTTAGAGGTACCTTAAACAGTATCTTCATTTATATGTATTTTCTGAAATCATTTGTTATATATTACATTGATGTTTTTAGTAACAATTTTCATATGTTTCAGTGACAACTGGTTGTCATCTGTGTTTACCTGCTACAGAAGTTTATGATTCCAGGTAAAGTTGTGTACATAACTTTTGTCAATTTATTGCAAATCACAAATAGACAAGTTTATACACATATACACACTGTTCTAGATGTGAAACTTTTTGTGTCGCCTCTATTGAGTTGTGGCGACATAAAGGGATCACTTCTCCATCGTCAGTCTGTCACAGAACTTGTCTGGACTAGTCCTCAAAAACTACTTGAGCAATTTCATCCAAACTTTATAGGAATGTGTTTTGCCCTGTTAATGATTTTGTGTCTCCTACTACACAGTAGCTTCAACATGCAAACGGCTTTACATGATAAGGCAACACATGTGATCACTTATGGCTCTTGTTTAATTCTAGAAAATTTTGATAGACTTTAATAAAAAAAATTCTTTCTCTAAGTGTTGTTTCCTTACTTTTATATGGTTTGCAATTCAACTGTCTAAAGTTTTAAGTCACCTGGCAGTGTTTTAATGTTATATAAGCTTTACTTGTAGGAGAAGAACCATATACCTGTATGTGCTTTATTACAAGTACAGGGCATTGAGGTAGAATGTTTTATCTGCAGTAAATAACTTTGATAGATTCATCTGACTATTTGATTGTATTTTAGTATTGGTGTTATGAACTATCCCCTGTACTATTGTATTTTAGTATTGGTGTTATGAACTATCCCCTGTACTATTGTATTTTAGTATTGGTGTAATGAACTATCTCCGAATGTTTTATTGTATTTTAGTATTGGTGTAATGAACTATCCCCTGTAATATTGTATTTTAGTATTGGTGTTATGAACTATCCCCGGATGTTTTATTGTAGTTTAGTATTGGGGTAATGAACTATCTCCTGTACTATTGTATTTTAGTATTGGTGTAATGAACTATCCCTTGTATTATTGTATTTTAGTATTGGTGTTATGAACTATCCCCGGAAAGGTAAGAAGAAAGCTGCGAGGGAAGAGTCTACTCTAGTTTGTATCACCTGTAAACATACCAACACAGAAGATGAATACCTTATCACACAAAGACCTGAAAAAGGTATGTATTTAATCTATTCATATTATCAAAAATTTCTTTTACAAAGAGATATTAAGCTTTAGATTTATTTTGATAGTTATAGTTTTTGCAGACATTGTTGATGTTATAATTGATAGTGTGATAATACTTTATATGTCAATTTTAAGAAACAAGAAAATGTTTTTCAGATTTTGGGAATGTTTGACAGAGTAGTTTATTTTAGCTGGAGAACAGGGAGAGCTATTGTAATCACCCTGGTGTTGGAATCACACTTTAGTTAAGTTTTTGCGTGTAAGTTGGTATCTCCAAAACTGGTAATTGTCCAAGGCTTCTAGACAGAATTCTGGCCCTTTTTGAACATAGGAAGTTCTACATTATTTAGTCTCTTGTTTTACTTTCAAGCACTGAAAATAGTTGAGCCGACTTTCTACTAACAGCTCTTGTTATATATTATTAAGTGAAACAAAGTGCACATTGCCCTAATGATGGCTGTTGTTAAAATTTATTCAATAAAACATAAAGTGCACAATGTATGTTCCACTTTAGGGTTATTAGCAGGATTGTGGGAGTTTCCTAGTTTACAGTGTAATAACACACAAGCAGGGGAAACCGAGGCATCATGTGACAGTATTTTACAGGAGAATGGTGTCATAGTAAATGGACAGCAAACATTCAAAGACTGCGGTGAGGTGAGATATTGATATAAGTGTTAGAGTAGTCTGGTGTTAAATTTCAAGAACTTAATTAGGCTGGTATTAAATTTCAATGCAGCTTTAAATTAACCGAGTTCTGATAAAAAAGATAAACAAAATCTTTAAAATAAAAAACTGTTCAGCTGATGTTAACCATCAGAATCGATGATTATAGGCATTAAGTGACATTCAAACGAGAACATGTTGTTAGAATATAATGACAGAAATATTTTGAGCGAAAAAAAATTTGGATGTCACTAGTCTCATTGATTATAAACTTCGGGTCAATAAATCTAATGAATTATTTCATTTTTGACAATGTATATGCCCATATTATTTGCAAAATGATGATACTGTGAATGGGATGATTTTACTGATGTTGTAGGCTTAATATATGTAACACATGTAATCTTATATTGCAGGTTGTTCATATATTTTCTCACATTCATCAGACATACATGGTGAAATGTCTGACTGTAAATGAGTCTAATATCACACTAGAGGACAAGTCTAAATGTAAATGGGTTACCAGGCAACAGTTTATGGAAGCTGCAATCTCAACAGCCATGAAAAAAGTATGTTGTTTTAGTATATTTTTATTTTTATGAACTTTCAAATACAGTTAACAAAGGCCTCCAATGGGAAAGTGTAAAAGTGACCTTTGTTCACAGTGGCCTTTGTTTGTGGGACAATATCATAATGTTTGATGAGCATTCCCCCCATATAATACTAGTAAATGATATGGAAGTTGTTTTTTTAACGCTTATGCCTATAAATTTATAAATACTGTTTTATCATTTAATTTAGTATAAAAGACAAAAATACAATTCAAACAAATCTATAAAGTTAATTTCTTCATAATGACTTTTTTCAATACTGGTGATGTATATTTTATAGACCTATACTTATAAAAAGAAACATGTTTCAGTCTATGCGTTATAACTTTAGCATACATATCTGCCAAATATGCTAAGAATCATAACTCTAGCATGGAAATCTGCTGAATGAATAATACATCTGTGACTAAGTGTCATAACTCTAGCATGGAAATCTGCTGAATGAATAATACATCTGTGACTAAGTGTCATAACTCTAGCATGGAAATCTGCTGAATGAATAATACATCTGTGACCAAGAGTCGTAACTCTAGCATAGAAATCTGCTGAATGAATAATACATCTGTGTCTAAGAGTCGTAACTCTAGCATGGAAATCTGCCGAATGAATAATACATCTGTGTCTAAGAGTCAATAACTCTAGCATGGAAATCTGCCGAATGAATAATACATCTGTGACCAAGAGTCGTAACTCTAGCATGGAAATCTGCCGAATGAATAATACATCTGTGTCTAAGAGTTGTAACTCTAGCATGGAAATCTGCTGAATGAATAATACATCTGTGACCAAAAGTCGTAACTCTAGCATGGAAATCTGCCGAATGAATAATACATCTGTGTCTAAGAGTCGTAACTCTAGCATGGAAATCTGCCGAATGAATAATACATCTGTGTCTAAGAGTTGTAACTCTAGCATGGAAATCTGCCGAATGAATAATACATCTGTGTCTAAGAGTTGTAACTCTAGCATGGAAATCTGCGGAATGAATAATACATCTGTGTCTAAGAGTTGTAACTCTAGCATGGAAATCTGCCGAATGAATAATACATCTGTGTCTAAGAGTCGTAACTCTAGCATGGAAATCTGCTGAATGAATAATACATCTGTGACCAAGAGTCGTAACTCTAGCATGGAAATCTGCCGAATGAATAATACATCTGTGTCTAAGAGTCGTAACTCTAGCATGGAAATCTGCCGAATGAATAATACATCTGTGTCTAAGAGTTGTAACTCTAGCATGGAAATCTGCTGAATGAATAATACATCTGTGACCAAGAGTCGTAACTCTAGCATGGAAATCTGCCGAATGAATAATACATCTGTGTCTAAGAGTCGTAACTCTAGCATGGAAATCTGGCGAATGAATAATACATCTGTGTCTAAGAGTTGTAACTCTAGCATGGAAATCTGCCGAATGAATAATACATCTGTGTCTAAGAGTCGTAACTCTAGCATGGAAATCTGCTGAATGAATAATACATCTGTGTCTAAGAGTTGTAACTCTAGCATGGAAATCTGCTGAATGAATAATACATCTGTGACCAAGAGTCGTAACTCTAGCATGGAAATCTGCCGAATGAATAATACATCTGTGTCTAAGAGTTGTAACTCTAGCATGGAAATCTGCCGAATGAATAATACATCTGTGTCTAAGAGTTGTAACTCTAGCATGGAAATCTGCCGAATGAATAAAACATCTGTGTCTAAGAGTTGTAACTCTAGCATGGAAATCTGCGGAATGAATAATACATCATTGATTAACAATCATAACTTGAGTGGTGGCGTTGCTGAGTGGTTAACACGTCGGACTAGTAATTTTAGGATTGTGGGTTCAAACCCTGTCAGGGGGAAGCTGTTGTTTCCTTGAGCAAGAGACATTACATTCATTGCTTAGTATTGGTTGGTTCCAGGAACTGATTCGAGAGTGTTTCAATAAGCTTATAGCTTCCAACACAATCAAACTATAATAAATTTGTATAAACTAACAATTATAACTAGCATGGATATTTGCAAAATGAACCATCATCACCAGTATTTTTTTACTGTCAAGAACTGTTCATAGTATAGTCTGTGTTACGGCTGGCAGCTTTTTATATAAACAGGCTTCATTGTAAAATGAAATTTTGTATTGTTTGAAAAAATAAAATAATTTTCAAACAATCGGGAGCTGATTTCGGTGAAAGGATTCTGCATATGTATCACAACATTGCTGTATCTACCAATATATATTATCTTTCAAGACAAATTATCTAACATCTGAAATTTTGTTAATTTCAGGTTTTTAAAGCATATGAAGGAGCTGTAAATGAAAACAAGAAAGTAAGTGATATTTCATCTACTTGTAGATGTATGCTGTTGTTAATAAACATTGTAGTATGTCAATATGTCCAGTATTTTTTAAACATATAATGTTTTCTTAGCTGAAGATTGATCCTGCCTTAAGTTTTAAAATTTATGCTATATAAATCAAACAAAAATTATGTGGGGTTATTATTATATAACTAATATAATGAAATTGGTTTTACTAACATAATACATGTGCTTTAGCTATGGTGGTAGTTTTATAAATTGGGTTATAGTCCCCTTATATATTCTCATGAATTTATTGACTGATTTTGATAAAAGTTTAACAATATCAGTTGATTCTTTATGTGATATAAAAAGTAAACTTGCAAGAATCTTGCTCCTTGTGACTCAGGGGTTGCCTATAATGGTCAAGGCATAAGAATTGCAGCCAACATTTATCCCTGTGCTTGGAAGAGCCAACTTAATGGGATTGAATAACTGGAGTCTATGCATCTCTAAGCTCCAGCAGGTGTGGTGGTTTTGAACCTTGATGTTGCTTTGAAATTTGTAGCATCCGAGGTAGTCCAATTGTTTTAGCGTCATAAAACCAAACATCATAATATGGACAGATTATTTCAGTTATTATAAGGCTACCTGAGGCTTTTGAATAATTTAGATGATTTGATTCATATCAAATTGAACAAAAGATGGGATTTAATTATTTAAAGACGGTATCAAGAGAAGTCTGGCATTAATATGTTGTAAATGAAATATTAAAGTTTTCTATACTTTGATGTAGAAATTAAATAATTCTTATATGTTGAAAAACTGAATATATTTGAATTACAAAAACTGAATTCTATTACACTAGAATATTATATTACAGAAAAGTTCAGTGACAAAGTTGAAGGGGAAAGAAGACAAGAACCAGAAATCTATCCAGGCTTTCTTTAAACCAAAGGTTTCCTGACAGAAATATTTGCTAGAATATACATTCTCAGTTTCTCTGGAAGAAACTAAAAAAACATTCATATTATATGTATGAATTGGTTTTATTTTTTTACCCCTGACCATCGGAATGTATCATGGTATGGCTTTGTCCGTCCGTCTGTCTGTCTGTAATTCATTGATTTCCTCAGCATGACTTTTGAAGGATTTCAGTAATAGTGTTTATATGTGACATGTAATTATGTTATATCGAAACTAAGATTAAGTTCGATTTTGGCCGCAGTCAACACATTATTATCCCCCGCCGAAAAGGCGGCGGGGGATATAGAAATAGTCTCCGTCCTTCCGTCCGACCTTCCGTCCGACATTTTTGTCCGGAGCATATCTCTAAAAGTATTTGAGTAATCAACTTGAAACTTCATAGGTGAATGGATCTCATTGAGGAAGAGTGCAGTGCACAAGAATGATAACTCTACCCTGCATAATTTTTGAGTTATTGCCCTTTGTTATTTTTCAAAATTGATTTTTGTCCAGAGCATAACTCCAAAAGCCTATAAAATATCAACATGAAACTTCATAGGTGCATAGATCTCACTCAGGAGGTGTGCAGTGCACAAGAATGATAACTGTACCTTTCATAATTTTTGAGTTATTGCCCTTTGTTATTTTTCATACTTAATTTTTCACCTGACTGGAGCATAACTCAAAAAGTGTTTGACATATCAACATGAAATGTCATAGGTGGATAGATCTTATTGAGGAGGAATGTTGTGCACAAGAATGATAACTCTTTCCTATACAATTTTTAGCTCACCTGTCACAAAGTGACAGGGTGAGCTTTTGTGATCGCTTTTCGTCCGGCGTCCGTCAGTAAACTTTTACTTTAAATGACATCTCCTCATAAACCACTAAGCCAATTTCATCCAAACTTCACAGAAATGTTCCTTTGGTGGTCACCTTTAAAAATTGTTCAAAGAATTTAATTCCATGCAGAACTCTGGTTGCCATGTCAACCGAAAGAAAAAACTTTAAATATCTTCTTTTAAAAAACCATAAGAGCTAGAGCTTAGATATTTGGCATGAAACATCTTCTAGTGAGTGTCTACCAAGTTTGTTCAAATAAAAGCCCTGGGGTCAAAATTGGCCCCGCCCCGGGGGGTCATTGATTTTCCCTATATGCATATAGTAAAAACTTAAAAAATCTTCTTTTAAAGAACCCAAAGAGCTAGGGCTAAAATATTTAGCATGAAACATGTTCTAATCTAGGTGTCTACCAAGTTTGTTCAAATAAAAGCCCTGGGATCAAAATTGGCCCCGCCCCAGGGGGTCATTGATTTTCCCTTTATGCATATAGTAAAAACTTAAAAAATCTTCTTTTAAAGAACCAAAAGAGTTAGAGCTAAGATATTTAGCATGAAACATGTTCTAATAAGTGTCTACCAAGTTTGTTCAAATAAAAGCCCTGGAGTCAAAATTGGTCCCGCCCCGGGGGGTCATTGATTTTCCCTATATACATATAGTAAAAACTTAAAAAATCTTCTTTTAAAGAACTCAAAGAGCTATGGCTAAGATATTTAGCATCAAACATGTTCTAATAGGTGTCTACCAAGTTTGTTCAAATAAAAGCCCTGGGGTCAAAATTGGCACCGCCCCGGGGGTCATTGATTTTCCTTATATGTGTATAGCAAAAACTTAAAAAATCTTCTTTGAAAAAACCCAAATAGCTAGAGTTAAGATATTAAGCATGAAACATCTTTTAGTGAGTGTCTACAAAGTTTGTTCAAATAAAAGACCTGGGGTCAAAATTGGCCCAGCCCCGGGGGTCATTGATTTTCTTTATATGTGTATAGCAAAAACTTAAAATCTTCTTTGAAAAACCCAAATAGCTAGAGTTTAGATATTAAGCATGAAACATCTTCTAGTAAGTGTCTACAAAGTTTGTTCAAATAAAAGCCCTGGGGTCAAAACTGGCCCGGCCCCAGGGGTGTCATTGTTTTTAACTATATGTGTATAGTAAAAACTTTAAAAAAAATCTTCTTTTAAAAAGCCCAATGTGCAAGAGCTTAGATGTTTAGCATGAAACATCTTCTTATTATTCTACCAAGTTTGTGCAAATAAAAGCCCTTGGGTTAAATTGGCCCTGCAACGTTGGGGGGGGGCCTATATACAGGTGAGCGACCTCAGGGCCATCATGGCCCTCTTGTTGAGTTATTGCCCTTTGTTCTTTTTCATGCTATTTTGTCCGGAGCTTATCTCAAAAAGTATTTGAGGTATCAACTTGAAACTTCATAGTTGGATGGATCTCATTGAGGAGGAGTGCAGTGCACAAGAATGATAACTCTACCCTGCATAATTTTTGAGTTATTGCCCTTTGTTATTTTTCAAAATTAATTTTTGTCCAGAGCATAACTCAAAAGGCCTTTGAGATATCATTATGAAACTTCATAGGTGCATAGATCTAACTCAGGAAGTGTGCAGTGCACAAGAATGATAACTCTACCTTTCATAATTTTAGAGTTTATGCCCTTTGTTATTTTTCATACCTAATTTTTCACCCGAGTGGAGCATAACTCAAAAGTGTTTGAGATGTCAACATGAAATGTCATAGGTGGATAGATTTTATTGAGGAGGAATGCTGTGCACAAGAATGATAACTCTTCCCTGTACAATTTTTGAGTTATTGCCCTTTGTTCTTTTTCATACTATTTTGTCCGGAGCTTATCTCAAAAGTATTTGAGGTATCAACTTGAAACTTCATAGGTGGATGGATCTCATTGAGGAAGAGTGCAGTGCACGAGAATGATAACTCTACCCTGCATAATTGTTTAGTTATTGCCCTTTTTTAATTTTTCAAAATTAATTTTTGTCCAGAGCATAACTCAAAAGGCCTTTGAGATATCATTATGAAACTTCATAGGTGCATAGATCTAACTCAGGAGGTGTGCAGTGCACAAGAGTGATAACTCTACCTTTTATATTTTTTGAGTTATTGCCCATTATTATTTTTCATACTTAATTTTTCAATTCAATTTTTTTCTCAAAAAGTATTTGAGGTATCAACTTGAAACTTCATAGGTGAATAGATTTTACTGAGGAGGGTTGCAGCACACAAGAATGATAACCTACCCTGCATTATTTTTCAGTTATTGCCCTTTGTTAGCTCACCTGTCACAAAGTGACAGGGTGAGCTTTTGTGATCGTTTTTCGTCCGTCCGTAAACTTTTACTTTAAATGACATCTCCTTATGAACCACTGAGCCAATTTCATCCAAACTTCACAGGAATGTTCCTTTGGTGGTCACCTTTAAAAATTGTTCAAAGAATTTTATTCCATGCAGAACTCTGGTTGCCATGGCAACCGAAAGAAAAAAATTTAAATATCTTCTGTTAAAAAACCATAAGAGCTAGAGCTTAGATATTTGGCATGAAACATCTTCTAGTGAGTGTCTACCAAGTTTGTTCAAATAAAAGCCCTGGGGTCAAAATTGGCCCCGCCCCAGGGGGTCATTGATTTTCCCTATATGCATATAGTAAAAACTTAAAAAATCTTCTTTTAAAGAACCCAAAGAGCTAGAGCTAAGATATTTAGCATGAAACATGTTCTAATGGGTGTCTACCAAGTTTGTTCAAATAAAAGCCCTGGTGTCAAAATTGGCCCCGCCCCGGGGGTCATTGATTTTCCCTATATGCATATAGTAAAAACTTAAAAAATCTTCTTTTAAAGAACTCAAAGAGCTATGGCTAAGATATTGAGCATCAAACATGTTCTAATAGGTGTCTACCAAGTTTGTTCAAATAAAAGCCCTGGGATCAAAATGGCCCCGCTCCGGGGGGTCATAGATTTTCCCTATACGCATTTAGTAAAAACTTAAAAAAATTTTATTTTAAAGAACCCAAAGAGCTAGAGGTAAGATATTTAGCATGAAACATGTTCTAATGGGTGTCTACCAAGTTTGTTCAAATAAAAGCCCTGGGGTCAAAATTGGCCCCGCCCCGGGGGGTCATTGATTTTCCCTTTATGCATATAGTTAAAACTTAAAAAATCTTCTTTTAAAGAACTCAAAGAGCTATGGCTAAGATATTTAGCATGAAACATGTTCTAATAGGTGTCTACCAAGTTTGTTCAAATAAAAGCCCTCAGGGGTCAAAATTGGCCCCGCCCCGGGGGGTCTTTGATTTTCCCTATATGCATATAGTAAAAACTTAAAAAATCTTCTTTTAAAGAACCAAAAGAGTTAGAGCTAAGATATTTATCATGAAACATGTTCTAATAAGTGTCTACCAAGTTTGTTCAAATAAAAGCCCTGGGGTCAAAATTGGCCCCCCCCCTGGGGGGGGTCATTGATTTTCCCTTTATGCGTATAGTAAAAACTTAAAAATCTTCTTTTAAAGAACTCATAGAGCTATGGCTAAGATATTTAGTATCAAACATGTTCTAATAGGTGTCTACCAAGTTTGTTCAAATAAAAGCCCTGGGGTCAAAATTGGCACCGCCCCGGGGGTCATTGATTTTCCTTATATGTGTATAGCAAAAACTTAAAAAATCTTCTTTGAAAAAACCCAAACAGCTAGAGTTAAGATATTAAGCATGAAACATCTTTTAGTGAGTGTCTACAAAGTTTGTTCAAATAAAAGACCTGGGGTCAAAATTGGCCCTGCCCCGGGGGTCATTGATTTTCTTTATATGTGTATAGCAAAAACTTAAAATCTTCTTTGAAAAAACCCAAATAGCTAGAGTTTAGATATTAAGCATGAAACATTTTCTAGTAAGTGTCTACAAAGTTTGTTCAAATAAAAGCCCCAGGGGTCAAAACTGGCCCGGCCCCAGGGGTGTCATTGTTTTTAACTATATGTGTATAGTAAAAACTTTAAAAAAATCTTCTTTTAAAAAGCCCAATGAGCTAGAGCTTAGATGTTTAGCATGAAACATTTTCTTATGGGTGTCTACCAAGTTTGTGCAATAAAAGCCCCTGGGTTAAATTGGCCCTGCAACGTTGGGGGGCGGGGGTGGTGGTTGGGGGCCTATATACAGGTGAGCGACCTCAGGGCCATCATGGCCCTCTTGTTATTTTCAGCCATCAGTATTCACATAGGTTTCATATTTGTAATCACTATAGCCATCAGTTTTCATTACCAAAAGACCTCTTAAAATGGAATTATTCTGCTGTACTACATATACATTCTTCCAATGAGCAAACACATTTGGCGGGGGATGGCCATGTTGACATGGCTCTTGTTAATAGAGTTATGCCTCTTTTTATAAACAATCTGAAATGAAAGTATTGGTTTCCTTAAATTAACTGAAGGATATCAGCGATTGTGTATATATTTGGCATTTAAGTATTTTATTTCAAAGCACTTTTTTTGGCTGCAATCAACACATTAATAAAGTTGTTCCATTTTTTAAGTGAAATTGGTTTCTGCTTTTGAAGGATTTTGGTGATTGTGTTTATACACATGTATTTGGCCTGCAAGTATGTTATATCAAAACAGGTCAAGTTTGATTTTGGCTGCAATCTATCACTGCATTAATAGAGTAATGCTCTTGTTAAAGCAATTTGTGAGTGAAATTAATGGTTTTCAGCATTAAAAAAACTTTTTGAAGGATTTCCATGATTCTATTTTTGGAACATATGTTATCAAAGACAAAATATGTTTGATTTTCATTGCAATTCAGATTATTGTTAGAGTTGTGTCCCATTTTCTGCACCACCACCTCGAAATTACTGACTTTTTAAAAAGAATTTCAATACATATGTTTGTATTTGGCATGCAAGTATTTAATATCAAAACACATGTCGGGTTATATATTTTTTCTGCAATCAGTTAATTATCCCCCGCCTAAAGGCGGCGGGGGTATAGAAATAGTCTTCGTTCGTCCTTTCGTCGGACAAAAATGTCCGTAGCATATCTCAAAAAGTATTTGAGGTATCATATTGAAACTTCATAAGTGGATAGATCTCATTGAGGAGGAGTGCAGTGCACAAGAATGATAACTCTACCCTGCATAATTTTTGAGATATTGCCCTTTGTTATTTTTCAAAATTAATTTTTGTCTAGAGCATAACTCAAAAAGCCTTTGAGATATCAACATGAAACTTCATAGGTGCATAGATCTCACTCAGGAGGTGTGCAGTGCACAAGAATGATAACTCTACCTTTCATTATTTTTTGAGTTATTGCCCTTTGTTAATTTTCATAGTTAATTTTTCACCTGAGTGGAGCATAACTCAAAAAAGTGTTTGAGATGTCAACATGAAATGTCATAGGTGGATAGATCTTATTGAGGAGGAATGCTGTGCGCAAGAATCATAACTCTTCCTTTCATTGCCCTTTGTTCTTTTTCATACTATTTTGTCCTGAGCTTATCTCAAAAAGTATTTGAGGTATCAACTTGAAACTTCATAGGTGGATGGATCTCATTAAGGAGGAATGCCGTGCACAAGAATGATAACTCTTCCTTTAATAATTTTTG